CCGTTGATATATGGGCAGCTGTTGGAGACTTCTGTCCCTTGACTCGACAGGAAGTTTAGGGAAGCAAATCTAAGAGAGTAGCTCAGAAACATGATGACCAAGTCTTTGGGGAAAAACTGAATCCATCATTTTAAAACAAATTGAGCTTTTAACCTTCCTGGCGGTATGATTATTCAGGATTTTAGCATCCCAAAGAGGTAGATTGTTTTTCATGGAAATTTGTTGTTTTATATTGTAGGCCCGTAATTCTTAGTAAATCTTAGGAATAACTCACCTAAATCTGTCCAGACAAGAGTCCAGTAGACATCCCAGGCATGATAAAGTTTGAAACACGAAATTAAAAAAATATAAAATGATAAGAAATTATAAGACAAGTTATAAAAAATTATAATATAATAAAAAACGGTCCAGTAAATGGGAATTCTGGGGGCGCTGCCGGATCCGTACCACAGTCAATAGAGTACCAAGTTCGCACATCACTGAGCTGTCGCAGAATCGTCGCTGTTTTAGACCAGGTAGAAAACAGCGATAGTAAATTAGAATCACTTGCAGAATTGAGCGAAATCGATTTGTTGGGAAATTCGTCAGACACTGAAAGTGACTTGTGTCTGATGACGCATTTCCCAACAAATCGCTATCGCTCAATTCTGCAAGTGATTCTAATTTACCATCGCTGGTTTCTACCTGGTCTAAAACCGCTTTTGATGCCATGGACGTTCACAAGTTTGCCGGCAGAAAGAACAGTAAAAGTGCAGGCAGGGCACTGGACAAAGCTCTAGGGACAACATTGAAGTGAAATAGTTTGATATACAAGTGTAATCATAGCAGATTACATTGTAGTGTGTGTATTCTGTGTAAATGTCATGTTTTCACTTTTGAATTTCCCGCCGGCTCTGCCCCCGCGCTGTGACGCCCGAAAACGAAACAAAAACAAAAAAAACAAAAAAAAAAACTCAAGATGCCGGCATCGGCCGGCCTCGCAGGGACAAGGTAAGTGACACTTTTCTGTGCAATTCCGAGTCTGGCTCAGGGTTACCGCTCTTAAAATTAACCCCGAGCCAGATACACATATATTACAACCATTAAAAACAGTGTGAATTGTG